CATTGTTCTCTATAGGTACTTAAATCATTTTTCACGTTTAAAAATAAATTTACAAGTGTTTCAAACATGGTCGACTCAATCACGGATAATGGGTATATACAAGAAACCTTACATATATCCCGCCAACACCGCCTTCGGAGCTTATTGATTCTACTAACTTATCGTTGAACTTCGTGAAACGTAGTTTATACATATTGGGATCGATCCGACTGATATGTTCAGAGTGGCGGTGCATATAATCAACACCATCACGTTATGTTAAAATTTCAACTGAGTTTCAAAGAAATTACACGATGGGTAATATCCTATCAGCATTTGACAGTACCGAACGAAGTACATCAAGTTTTGAACATTATTAGTATTTTTGCTGTAATACCACATAATTTTTTCGATTTGCTGAAGATGAGATTTCTACGAAGCCTGGAGACTGAACTAGGTTCATGCGTGCTTTATTCGCCTTAGCGGCCGAAGTAGAATTAGCGGTGGAAATGCGTTTGCCATTAGTTGTGGTTGTATATAAATCTTAAAAATTAAAAAAAACTAATATTAACCTATATGTTATCTATAATATTAATACTAACACTAAATCTTTTTAAACATTTTAATATTGTGTAGTATATCATCTACCTAACTTCAAATAAATTAAATATATATATATGTTGAATAGTTGAATAAGTAAATTACAATATAATATACTACTATTTAAAGTATATAGTTGAAATATTAGGAAAGAATTAATAATTTTAGATAACCATCGATCGAAATTCTAAAAATTGTATTACAAGTGTATAAATTTTAATTATTTTTGTAATGATTTGTATGTAGTATACAAAACTATCTATTTCATCATATTATTTTAGATATAAATAAACTTACTGCTACTACTATATGAATCTACGCTGTGTATATAATATTATAATTGAACCAACCTTGTATAGTATCAGCCAAGTCGGTGTTCTCAAGTTCGTCCATGATTATTGTACGATTGTCACCATCGTTATTGTATAAATCGTTGGATGCTTCATTTGATGAACCCATATTTTGTGTAGTTTGACTGTTGGTTAATGCAACCGTTGGAGTGTTTGAAGCGATGATTTGTGATGTAATCGCTTTTCCATCACATTTTGATTGAGTTGGTTGAACATTTTGATTTTGTTGAGTAGGTTGGGCATCAGCAATGCCTTTTAAAATAAAGTAACTAATTATTTGCAAAAAAAAAAATCGATTATTGAAAGTAATTAAATTATACATACCGTGAACGTTTTTTATATGTCTATTACAGTGAGACTTGTCATTGAATGTTTTAACACATATAGAGCATGAAAAACGTACACCATTGTGTTTCTTTTGGTGGGCAACCAAATTGTCTTTACGTGAAAATTCAGATGAGCACTGTATACATTTAAACATATTGATAATGTTTAAAATGAAAACAAAATAAAGAGAAATATAACAAGCAAATGTTTGATATAATAAAATAATAAACACTTTGAAAATAAATTTCACTATAAATATTAAAAGACAGAATGATTTTCATTTGTGTGTACTGTGTAATATACGACTGGAGACGTACTGACCGATAATTAATAAATGCTGGATTTGGCGATTATTAATTTCTAATACATTTCGGTAATGTCAGCATTTTAGACCATGGATTGGTAAAATATTACCTAGTAATTTACCATGTTAAAAGGTTAATCCAGATAATATTTTCAATTATTTTGGGATACATTTAAATTGTTGAAATAATAGCTTCTAATTAGGTCTTGCACGAACTAACTTTCTAAACCTTAAGTCATTGGTTTTAGGTAAACAAAAATATTTCACCATAAGTGTGAAGTGTACAATGTTTCATGTATAATGACCAAGTCATCATTAACGATTAGAGAACTGTGTTATTCTAATATCATATTATTAGGTAGCGATATGTGATACTATACATTCACACTTTCACTTAGATGTAAGGTATCAGGAAATCATAAATAATTTCTAACGAAATTTATGTTTAAGAGTCGCTAACTATTACAAACTATGTTTATCGAATGTATTATTAAATAACTAACTAGGTTGTTTTAACAATAATATACTATTTTAAATTAGTAGTATAATAATAAATTAAATTATAAGAATAATATAATATTTTTATTTTTAGCAATAGATATGGGGGAGGGGGGCAATGCACAGCATGTAGTGAAATGGAGGGGAGGAGGCACGGCCGGGCACGGCATGGAGGGGAATGGCAGCGCGCGGCATTGACTCGCATGGGCTAGGGGCTAGGCCCTTGAACCATCTAAATCATACTACTTGGATTCATTCTAAAGTACCAACTAGACTTAGTTTACTATCTCAAACTATCCTAAAAATTGAATATGGGACCATTTTTTCGACTACTTATTATGTAACACGTATTTTTGTAAAATCAATATATTCATGACTCTGCTTAGAATCTAAAAAACGTCGAGGATATAAAATCACGATTTCACTTTAAGCACTGAGGTTCAAATGCTAAAAAAAATTCGTAAAAAACATGGGAATTACAAATTTTTTTACGTCTAATTTTTCAGTAATAATGATGTTTTAATTTTAAAGAATATTGAGTGTAATACAAGATTACATTATTAAACTTAAAATCGGTTTTTGTAAGTGATATTTTATGTTACATTTAATAATCATGCTTATACAGTTATACCAGGTATTCAAATATAAAGAATCAAAAATTATTATTTGTATCTTTCACGAAATATTATTAAAGTTTTAAATGATTAGTGATAAAAATAAATATATATGTATAAGCGACAATATGTATAATTTGGTATTTTATAAAATGTCTAGGAATTCTATAAAATACCAACTACAGCCAAAAATCTATAAAATTGTTTAAATTACCTAGGTATTATATGAAGTATAAATTCATTTTATTAGTGTTGTATTTCTCTTACCTACGCCCAACATAGATTTTTTTTATTTTCTAGTACAATTTATATCAGCAATAATTATTATTAACTGTGTACTACCAATACAGTTTACAAATTAACTTTTTTTTCTTTTTTTTTTTTTGTTTCATTTTTATACACTATATTCTGTAATAATAAACTGGTATTTTGTAATAAATATTTTTATGTGTCCTGATAAAATTAATTGTCTTTATTGTAATAAAAAGAAATTGATTTTTTTAAGATTTTATTAGTGATCTCCCTGTTTTACATATTACCAATTTACTGCTTGTCGTTTTAAGAAATTGCTAATTATTAGACAAAATATTTAAGAAATGTACATGAAAAATAAATATATTATACATTTCTCTATAAAAATCACCAGGTATAATATAGATTTCCTAGGCATTTTATATATTAAATATATTATACACATTGCCGCTTACATATTATAATATTTAATTATACTCTTATTAAATTGTAATTTTAAAATTATTTCTAATACATAATCTTATATTTTATTATTTATACGGAACAAACAAATCACGAAATTTGTTTAATTATTAATTTAACTTTATTCTTCATTTCAATTTCGAATAGATGAAAAATGGTTAAATACACCATATTCATAATAATTTTTTTAAGATAAACTTTAGAAATTTTACGGTAAAAATAATGTTTAAATTGCTATTTGGTATATTTTACACAAACTATTTCTAAATTCAAACTTACTGTAAACCAAATTAACTAAAAAAGTAAAATAAAAATATTATTAGTTATTTAATGTTAATGAATTTTAAAAAATCATACCGCAATTTCTTTTGTATAAAAAAAAAATATATTCATAAGCCTCTAAATGTATATATACAGAAAAATTTTAAATCGACAGAAATATAATATGGTTTAACTATTACTAGATAATAAATTTTCAAATTTTGTTTGATTTCAATAGAATAAAAAATATTCATAGCCTACTTGTTATGAAAAGTAAATATTTCTACAGGTTAATGAAAACAATAGTCATAAAAATAATGGGAGACTAGGCCTAACTGAACTCTTTAATACCTACAAAATACAATAAAAAGTGAAAAAATAAAGATGAAAATAATTATAAATAATATCAGACACAAAATTTAAGTAAGGTTATCAAATTAAATTAATAAAAAAAATTATTATTATTATACAAAATACACGTACGCATATTATCTATAAAAATAAAAACAATTCGAATTAATAAAAAATATTATTTATATTATAATTCAATTTTACAATCTAAGAATAATGATAAATGATAACTAAATATCTCTTTATGTTTATAACTTATGCTATACTCATACCTACCAACTTATGTCACACGACATAATACAAATGACTGTTGAAATATGCAACAATATATTCTCGCAGAATTATTGTTATGACCTATTACCAATACTAACACTATATAACAACGACTGTTTACTGTATACATTAAACTTCAACACACTATGCATTATCGAATTCCGTACGAGTACGCCACACGCTTTATATAATATGAAACTTAAGTTATATACTTACTTATGTAAGTATAAAATGTTATTAGTTTTTAGTAAGCAATAAAAATAACAATAACAATTATTGAAGTCTAGTTATTCAAATACATTTTAGATAATTTTATATCTCCACTCACGGCTACGCTAATATGATCGTATACACAGTACGCCACAACTTATCCTAGATAGTAGATATCTTATATTTAACTAGTACTGTCTAATAGTTTCTCCGATCAAGTTACAACTCGTCAAAATCTTTTTTCCATTTTAAGTACCAAAAATACGCAAACGTTAACTCATCTCTTGTTACCGCTTATATCCAAATTTTATAATTTATACATCAAGTTTTATCCACCGAATCAGAAGATAATTAATTTATAACGATGTAATTAAGTATTATAACTTTTTTATAAAATTTATTAATAATGAGTCAACAAATAAAAAAATATAAAAAAAATTGCTATAAATTATTTCCTTCCTTATTTCACTTAAAATAAATTGTTATATGGTTATTAATAAAATAAAATTGTTTACTAACCAACTGTAGCTGTAATGAGAATTTATGGTCAAGTGAAAATATTAGTTAATATTCGTAAAATATGTACAATTAAACACATCACATTGTTCAAAACATGTGTTATACAATATATTGTACCGTGTAAAATCAATCATTATTGAGAAAAAATAAATAGACGAAACCGACTGAAGAAAAGTAGTCGGATTGAATGCAAACGTGTAACTTGGACCGTTCTTGTGAAAGTATTTAAAACACTAGGATAATTCACAATGTAATGTTATAGGAACTGATCTAAGATAATATGGATGAGCAAAATTACCAATTAAGAAATACTTAAGAAAATATAAGAAGGAACACGTCTAGGAATATAGAAGATACAGTATAAAAAAACTGAATACAAAGATAGATCATTGTATTGTATTGTTTTTAATTCTTTATGAAGTAGTATTCGAGCAAATAATGGAAAAAGTCCAAAAGAAAAGAATTATACATGCATAACCTAATAAAAGACAAATTATTTTACTATTATACACAAATTAAAAAGTAAAACATGTTATACCGAATAGTGTAAGATGATTACAAATTTATCATTGGATTCATACTATTAAGAGATACAGAGATTGAAATTTAATAAGTAAAATTAAAAAAAAACACCTATGGTATTTTAACTATTTACTTAGAGTTTTAAAAAACGAATGAAACTAATTTAAAAAAAAAAAAAATGTAAATCTGCCATTCGAATTATTATTTATATACAGTCATAGAAGTATTTAACTACATACAAGGGATTTAAAATTTGTCTAATACATTAATGTATAAAATCAACTTATTAGTAAAATTAAAAAACAACTTACAAGTGTCAACTAGAAAAAAAATACAAGGTAAAAAAAATAGTATTAATTAATGCTTATGTGTAACGACTTAATTATACATTAAAGGGAATTGATTGAAAATTCTCAATAAATTGACAAACTATTCAGTGTAATGCCAGTTTCATCTATTTTTTGTTAAAAATAGAAAATTTAATATTGTTTAGTATAGGAATGTATGAGTTTTAGATGAATATCTATTAATTAGTTTTTTACATTACATATTTTACTACTTTATAATATTTGATATTATCTCAAACAATGAAAAATAAATACAAACAGATTGAATAAATAACGTCGAGAATCATAAAAAATCAAAAACTATTGAGTACAAATAAGTAATTACGTCTTACAAGTTATTTTGATTTATTGCTTGAGGATGATTTAAAATAATTTCAATTTGTTATAGAATAATTCAGAAAACTAAGTATTACTTATGTAAATGTGTTGTAGAAACATTCAAACGAAATTAAATTTAATTATTTAATTATAAAATATATATGAATAAAATAAAAAAAACACTAATTATAATAATAACCAATAGGTACATACCAGCTTCAGTTGAAAAATAATAAACAAACAATAA